TTATGTTTTTTTCTAATTATTTTATGGCTATATATCTTATATTTAGATTTCTGATCCATTTTGAGATAATTTATACATGCACAATGTGATAAGGATATAGCTTGACTATTGTGGGTATGTATTTTCAATTTTCCTAACACCATTTGTTGAAGAGTGCCCTTTTCCCACTGAATGGTTTGGCACCTTTTGAAAGTCCCTTGACATATTTCTGAACTCATTATTCTATTCCAGTGGTCTATATACCTGTCTTTATACCAGGGAAGTTTTTTAGGTGTGTTTTTTATTTTTGATGAACGTAACATTTTAATATCAAGTTTTATGCTTGAAGTGGCTATATGCAATTCCTAACATTTTTAAAAATGGTAACCTTTAAGGATTCTTAAATAATTTATATTGGTGAGAAAATTTACCACCCAATAGTTTTGAAATTTTGTAGACTACTTTCTGTAACTATTCAAAACTGCAAGAATTGAAATTAAACTTAAAATGTGATAGTTTTTTCTTTTTTCAAGACAAATATGTTAACATTTCTTAGGTAGGACAAATTTACAAATAAAATGTTTTGTGTAAAATATTTCAAAATAATAAAAACTATATTGAAGTTTATGCATATATTTACCAAGTGATTCCCTTGTATCTAGCTTGGATATTACTGCAAGGATCCATTAATTGCCAACAGACAATTATATTTATTTCTATATTATTGTTCACTTTTGTACAATGTTTGATTTTTTCTCTCTCAGGTGTTGTCCCCATGAAATTACCACCAAGACACCCGTGAATCATCACCATAGACTCTGTGCTCATCCATCCTGTTCTGGTCTTTTTCTTTCCCTCTCCCCTGAAGAATGTCTACAATTTATAGTGTGACTGCTAGTTTTTTCTTGTCTTTTTCTTACCCCTTGTATGGTTTCCCTATGTTCCTCTTATAAGTGAAATTATCCAATCCTTTTCTTTATCCTTGTGACTTATTTCAGTGTGCATAATCCCTTCCAGTTCTATCTATGTTGTTGCAAATGCCATAAATTTGTCTTTTTGATTGCTGAGTAGTATTCCACTGGATATATATTCCACATCTTTTTGATCCAGTTATCTGTTTTTAGACATTTAGGTTGTTTACAAATCTTAGCTATTGTGAATAGTGCTATGATGAACATAGGAGCACAAGTATCTTTTTAAATTAATGTTTTTGTGTCCATTGGGTAGATTCCTAGGAGTGGAATTTATGGTATCCACTTTTAGTAATTTGAGGGTCCTCCTAACATTTACCATAGTGGTTAGACCAGTTTTCATGTCCACCTTTCCTCCACATCCTTGGCAGCATTTGTTGTTTAGATTTTTTAATGTGGGCCATTCTTACTGGTATGAGTTGACAGGTCGCTGTGGTTTTGATTTGCATTTCCCTAATTATAAGTGGTGTTGAGCATTTTTTTCATGTGCCTGTTGGCCATCTGCACATCCTTTTTGGAATAATGTCTTTTTAGCTCTTCTGCCCACTGTTTGACTGTATTCTTTATTTTGTTTTTGTTGAGTCATGTAAGCTCTTTATAAATCTTTGATACCAAGTCTCTTATCAGTCTTTTGCGGCATGGGAAAAAAAGTAATTTTTCCCAATCTGGGGGTGTCTCTTCATCTTGGTTATTATCTCTCTTGTTTCACAGAAGCTTTTTAGTTTGATGTAGTCCCAGCTGTTATCTTTCCCTTTATTTTATATGTTTTGGAGGATGAGTCTTTAAAGATGTTTCAGACATGCATGTCATAGAATGTTTTCTTGTATGTATTGTTTGGTTTCAGGTCTTACATTCAGCAGACAGAAGTAATATATATGAGTAAGCCATCAACTCTAGCCTTCTGGGATCTCCCTTATTCTTTTTCTCTAAGCTGCCAGCATTTATATGGCTATGTAGTGTCCTCTTGGACTTCTCAGCTAGAAACTCCTTTGGCACTTCATAGGGCAGTGTTAACGTTCTACCGCTAACTAGTAAGTCCATACCCAGGAGCTCAATCAGCTTCTGTGCTGTGTATACTCAAGAGGAGTAATAGGTGTGGGATGTGGCTTATTTATTTTATTTCCTCTTCCTTTTTTATAAGGTTGCCTCTGTGTATCTTGGATCTTTAGATACTACAGTTAGTGACTACCATCTGACTTGAGGGTCAGAAAAATTATTTTTAAGCAAAAAAAAAAAAAGGCCCATCATAATTAGCAAGCACATTTTGCTTAACTCTCTTTCAAGAGGAAATTTGAGAAGTTGGAGTAAGAATGGAAAAGCTGACTTCACTTTCATAGATATGCACCTGTAACACATGAACAGACAGGTTCCAAGAACATACTCAATTCTGAAAAAATGTTTTTACCTTCCATTGCATCATTTTGCAGAGACTCTATGTTGCAAATTTTTGCAGTCAGCTTCATGTAGTGATGTAATGGAGAAGCTGATTGTAACTTGTTTTTCTTCTTGATTACATCATTAACCAACAACAGTTTATTGGTTATTTAGAAGATATTAAACACAAATATGGATACTTATTTCATTTAAAAATGGCCATGTGACTGGAGTGTGGAGACCTGTGGAAAATAACTGAGCACCTTCTCCTTTGGATCAAGTCCTTAAATTTTTTTTAATTAAAAGTCTTTAAGAATAAAGAGCTTAGCAGATCCTCATTAGTTCATAAGATTGTGTTGTTACCGGTATGAACATACTGAACTAGAAACTACAGTGGGAAATGTGCTTATTCATTTAGAGAAGTGCAGGCCTTTCCATTAAAGTACTACAAAGCTAAATGGAGAGCACATGGAGACTATATTTCCATTGCAGAACTTCCTTCTCTTCAGCAGAAACACTGATGTTTATTCTTGGTGGAAATTAAAGAAATAATTTCCGCAAAGAAATACAGATTTTTTAACTATTTGGATAGTACTTTCAGTGTCCATGTTTCTAAGTACAAACCAAGAATGTGCTCTATTAGCGTGGTTAGACTCCAGGGGGACTCTTGAGGGTAGAGCAAATTCCCTCCCCCACGGTTAGAACAGTGCTACTTGAGTAGGGTCTGAGGATTGATAATCACCAGAGAACACTTACGAGTCCAGCCCACATAAGTTCAGGAATCAAGAGTTAAATGTTTAGAAACCTTATGGCAATTTAATGGACTATGTGTCTACCTATTGAATTTAATAATAAAAAGTTGGGTTTGTATATGTATGTGTTTTATTTCACTTTTTAGTAACTCATTCCTATTGTTACATATAAAAATTCTCTGTCTGAAATGAATCAGGGAAAGAAGCAAATGGAACAGGTATTCCAAACCATGTAATTTAGAAAGCATGGAGTTAGACTCTCCTAGAAGTGAAGGTTCTGGAAATGAGCATATAAATTTGAGGGTTATCTAGACATTTCTGACAATGGGGCTGGCCAAACACTAGGTGATTATCTAGGTCTCAAATATGCATTCTGTAATGTCAAAAACCACAGTGCATGTTTTAGAAAAACTAAAACTCCTTTACTTCCTTTAACATGACAATTGTGTTATAAATGAAAATAAAATACTTACCCTGTCCAGCTACGGATTTTTGAACGTGAGCCTGTAGTGTGAAATTTGGTCACCCTTATTGTAACACAATGCCTTCTACCTAGGAGATATTAAACACATTCATTGAATTCAGTTTATTTTCACTAAGAGTTAGCAGAAATTAGGCAGTTCACTAAACAAAGCCCCCAAAATTAACTTCGAAAGGCAAAATGTGAATGTTGTTGACTGTATATAACCTCCAATGACTGCTCCAAAACTCACTCCAAAAAATACAAGGCAAATTGTCATTGCCTGTTCTGTTTAATTAGGGCTTCACTACGAAGAAATTTTTTTTCTAGTTACTAAGGGGCACTATGAAGGTGGTAGATATATGAGGTCCTATTATTGTTTTATTCAGTTGAGATTGTAGTAAACAAAATTCTTGTTGTTCTAATCAGTTCCAACTTTTAGTAATCTCCTTGATATAAATGTTCGAAGTGGTTGCTTAAAGCTACTCCTATACTGCAATTAAAGAAATTACCTTGAAAATCGATTTTCCAAAGTAGGTGTTAATATAATATGTTTTTTCTTATATTTCAATACCACATTTCAGGTTTTTTTTTTTAAAATTGGCAAGTATAAGAAGAAAATATTCAGCCATATGGAAATAATAGCATTGTGTCATATTGTCAACTTTCATGTTAGATTTGTGAAATTGAAATATAATTATGAATAACAAAATAAACACATGTACTGTAAGATAGTATGCCATGATGTATTTTTGACACAATGGAAACAATTACTAATAAAATAAGGTGTTGTATTTGGAAGAAAGAATTAGTTCTTGGCAGTGGCTTTTCAATTTTGTCAATTTGAAAACTGACATTATTGGTGGAAGAGATAGTTATGGAAAAAATGCATACAATCTTTATGGTTAGGACATATGCATTGTCAAAGCTCTTCATGTAAAAGTTAAGCAGACCTCAGGTTACTAAAACTTCTCATTTCTCAGAGGGAGGCAATAGAATATTTTCTTCACTTAGCTTATCACTTTTATTTGGCAGTTTATGAAATCTACATTCTGAATTTCCTTTTATCCTAAAGACTGGTTCTCTCTTGATAGATTGTACCTTTGTTTTTAGAGAACATAAATTTTAGTATGTGGGAAAGCTTCATTAGGACATTTTGTATTTGACAGGTTTTCCTTTATTTAAGCATTGTGTTTTATTTTCATGTATGCTGTTTTCCAGGTTAGCACAGTAGCACTGTCTTTTAAGATCATGCAACTATTTTCTTAGTTATTCCAACCAGAGATTGTTCATAGAGGATTCAGTGTCCATCAATTGAAAGAATTTGGAGATGTACTGTATAATCTCTTGATAACAGAATTAGAGAATAATATTGGTATATATTAAAAAGCATATTAAGCTTATGTTTTGTTTTTTATAGGAAGATTCTTTGGCCACAGATGGTATCCTTGTGGACTACTTTAATGAATTCCTAAGTCTTCCAGTAAGTACATTATTATGTTCTTTTGACTGTATTATAAAAGGTAAAATACTGTATTCACTGGATTATCTTGTGAGATAAATTTATTAGATACAATATTTTTTGAAATATTATTAAAACATGGAGGTAAAGTTTGTGTCTTGGGGTCAATCATTTGGAGTTGACTCATATTTAGTAACCTCATTGAAGAAAACTGGATTTTTCTAACTATCAAAAGCAATCTGTGAAAAATAGATATGGTTCTATTTGGCACCCATGCAGGCTTGCTTACATAGAAGTGATAGGACAGGATATCAAAAATTCAAGAAACTAAATTTCTTGCTTCTAAGCAATTATTGTCATCCTCTTAGGCAAATATTAAAGTGGAATTTGGGGTTTATGGCAACTAAACTTTTATAGCAAATCAGACAGAGATGGATGCCAAATTACAGAGTCTCAGTCTAGGGCAGTAATGACTGGCAGTGAGTTCAGAGAAACTTAAATGGGCACAAAAAACACTTACAGTGATGTAAGTAAGTAAAGTCAATCAGGAATGGCAGATAAGTAAAAATTAGATCAGAAAAGGTTTTTACAACTGTTATGAAAACGTTTTCATTGAGATATTTGCCGGGTGAGGCAAGGCTTGCATACACAGATGTGAAGAAGTACTCACAAAATTTGTATCGTATTGTAAACTGATGGTAAGTCAATAAAGTTTTAATGAAAAAATAATCAATCACTATATTATGTGTAGTTTGCCTATTGACATAGTCTTAATTTCTAATAACCACATAATATTTTATTGAATGGATGTACCATAATCTAATATATATTTTATATTACTTAATAACATGAACTTTATTATTTTTTTTTAAAGATTTATTTATTTATGCATACAGAACTGGGGTACAGGCCAGAGATGTGGAGGGTGAGAGGCTTCACCAGAGACACAGTGGGGAGCAGAACAGGCAGATCAACGAAGTACACTGCTGAGGGGAGCAGCGGGCGGGTCAGGAGAGGTCTGCCGCACCATGTGGTCACTCCGGGGCAGGCGGGAGTCGAACTCATGCGGAAGCCGTCTTAGATTCTCAGTGCTGTGCTTTAACCCGCTGCGCCACCAGGGAGGGCCATCATGAACTTTATTTTACTCAATTTTGTATCATCAAAAATAATGCTTTCAGAGACAGAAAATTGTTTAGTGGTTACTAGAATGGGAAGAATAGGGAATGGTTTTTAATGCATTTTTTGGAGTAATTAAAATGTTTTAAAATTAGGCAGTAGTGATGCCTGCACAACTCTGTGAAGGTACTAAAAATGTGTCATGAATTGTACACTGAAAGGGTGAATTGTGCTTCTAGAGAGCTGTTTGAATGAAAGAATGTATTAGATTGTCCATTGCTGGGAAGACATGACAAATATTGATGACAATGTGGAGAAAAGGGAAACCATGCACTGTTGATGGCAATACAAGTTGGTTCATCCCCTGTGCAAAGCAGTACAGAGGTCCCCAAATATATATTTACAAGGGAAAATGAGGAGGAATATAAAAAAGTCCTAAGTAATTTTCAAGGGAGTGCACCATAAAATGTGCTGTCTCAACGCTCAGTTAGTAAAAACGCCTTTTGAAGGAAAAATGCTGATGTCCTTTGTTGCCTAGGTCAGTTTGTGTGTGTGGATGGATCTGTGCGTGCATACTTGTTTGTTTGGGGATTTCTTTTTCCCCAAAAGAGTTTGTACTGCCTCCTCCCTTTGGCACAGCGAGGTCTCTGGAACTGTTCTGGGGTTGTTGTCTTTCCACATTCAGGTCTGAGCAACATTACAGGACACCCCAGTGGGTTCTGATTTGGTCCAACTCTTCAACATTCATAGTCCATTTGTATATTGTAAAAACCCAGCAGCATCACAGAATTGTCAGAATTTTGTTTTTCCAAATTGTGTAGTGTTTCATTTTGGCTCTGCATTCTGTAGTCTTTCTCCAAAAAATAGGGTTTTTTTATTTTGTAAAATTGAAGAAGAAAAATCTCTAAATTTGGTTTGATTTCAGTTTCTCAAGGTTTATATTTCATTATCTCAAAGTATGCGAGTATTGACTTTTTACTTGCTACAGAAAATAAATTTCCTTAACTTTCTTAAAAAACAAAACAAAAACAAAAACTTTTAAACTATAGAAGTCATATAAAAAGAGTATAGAAAATTTACCTGGTATTTCGAAAAATCCAGCTTAAGTCCTACTGATCAGTCAGAATGGACATTATCATTTTTGTATGCTTCCTTCAGGCATTAGGTAAATTGAGAGAGTGATTTCTGTTAACTCTCTCTGTGCAGTCATGCTTCATCTTACCCCAACAGATACCCTGAAGTTTAACCACCATCTGGGCCACTTCTTTTTTTTTTTCATCTCTCCAAATCCTTGCACTTACATTTTTCTCTCTCAGCTCCTCCTCACTCCATTTTGCCCTCCTGCCCTCCTTTTATCCATATTTAGTTACACACATTTATTTATTAAGTACCCATACTTCCTGGCACAAGATGGTATAAGGGAAAATGTTACAGATTTCATAAAAGAATGTGGGAGTAGAAGAAGGAATGATGGTTTTCTCAAATCAAGTTCCTAGCAAGAATGGGTTTACCTACCAATAAGTGTGTCAAATGAAAATCTCATTTTTGGTCACTTCCCTCTCTGCCTTTAGGTAGGGAAGCAATACACCTAACACATTATCTACTCAGACTCCTTTGTCTCCAATGCCCTTAACATCTGTGAAATTAGTTCGCAGTAGTTGAGTAGGTCCACTAACCACAGCCAGGAGTGCTTGGCTCTTAATAGCCTGCACATCGTAGTCCAAATTCCCTAGTGTAGAACTGACCACTGTGATTTGATGTCAACCTCTCGGTTTAAATCTAGCTCTGACTGCTTGCTCCACCCTGCAGACTCTCCTGCCTACCCTCCTCTACTCACCTTGACCATGTATATTCTTCCTTTGCTCATCTCCCAGTGTCATGGTTATATAGGGGTGGAACTGCCTTTGCTCACCTCTCTCCATGTGATCCTACATACACTCCTTAATTACTTAATTCTCAGTTTCTTAATCTGTGCCAACAATGTAAGTATCTACAGGACTATTATGAAATAAAACAGCACATATTGAGTGCCTGGCACAGAACTAGAACTTTTCTTGCCTTTTCCTTCACTAACTTGATTTTGTTATCTTTCATTCTTGAAACACGAGGGGCAGCCACTCTCTAATTAGATTGTAGATCATTGTCAACTTAGAAAAGTCTTCTCAGGCACACAAATCTGTCATTGGCTTTGACTTGTAAAAATTATTTTTCTCAGACACTTCGATGATCCATTGCAAATGAATGAGCATTTTTACAACGTAAGGTCACTCAGCTTGGAAGTGACAAGATCCACCCATGTCCATATGGCTCAAAAGTTGTCCTAGTCTACTGTAATGACTATAGAAGTGGCAGTAGAGGAATGAACTGATAATTTGGACAACAGAGACTGTCTCATATTTAATATGGTAGTCTGAAATGTGCTAAAACAAACAAAGCTAATGTGTTTTTCAGGGGCATTCTTAGAAGTATAATTAAGGTCAAGAAAAATATTAGTCTGGAGCATAGAAGGCACTCAGTAAATTTTTTTTTTTTTTTGAGCCGGATTGAACTGTCAGACCACATGTGAGTGGTGTTTCTTTCTTGATGCTGTATGTTAAGAGTTGCTTTGCCAAACCAGACTTGGGAAGAAGACTCAGCCAGTGAATGTTCTGGAAACCACGTCAGATGGGGTTTGATTGAAAGAAGTGTGAGTGTGTTGCACCTGGCTTGGGAATGGAATTGGACTGGAATAGTTCTTTCCAGATATTTGAAGAGCTGATTGAGGAAGATGTGGGATCACATATTTCTGTGGAGTGAGAGTACAGCCTCAGAGTCAGCACTTACAAGGAACTTGTTTTTCCCTATTAGAAGAAGTTTAAAGTTTGTTTTCTAATAATAGAGAGGGCTGGCTGTGAAGGAGTAAACTCCCCATGACTGGAGGTATTTAAGTACAGGTTAGGAAGTCCTCTTTTGGGAACATCTTATAGGAAGTATATATATTAAGTGGGAAAGCAATCTTTTCCAACCAAAGAAAATTTCATTCATTCCTTTTTCTCTGTTTTATCTGAGGAACTACATTGAAAATTTTTGGGGGCCAACGATGGGTTTCTTTCTTCTCTATCTCAGAAAGCACCTTTAGGAGATTCTCTTTATTTTCATGTAAGAACATTGAAATAAACCTTGTAATCTTCTGTCTACCACCCTACCATCTCTACCCACTTTCCCTCAAGATCCCCAATAATCTAAGCCTGAGTGTATACATATAATATGTTTATGTAAAAGTGCCCTGAGATCATCTAGATTTCATCACATCTGTAGTGACATTGCTAAGGTCCCCTAACTGGATTATGGTAGAAATGGGCCGAGAAAGCAGGCTTTCTGTTTCTTATGCTGTGTCTTTCCATTACACCATTACATCCTTGGTACACACTGAGATTAGAAATTGATGGTTGGTAGCCTGCCTTCATGTTATTTTTTGATGAAGAGAATCCAGGACAGTTGCTGCTATTATAAATGATTATGGCACTTTCTGAATCCTAGCTTTCATAATTTCATTCTGTTTGTTCTGGGGCCAGGTCCACATTTAGATATTGTTTTCATTTGGTGTCTGGGAGGCTTTTTGCTGTCAACTCTTTATGGACAAGTGTTTGCTTATTAAGTTTTCTTCTGTACTATAGTGTGAAAAGTTGTTTTTTTTTTTTTCTTTTGGTTTTGTTTCGTGTGTTTTATGCTCAGTGACTGTTGTGGGATTGAATAGATGAGCCCACATACAGATTTAGGTTGGACCTCTGTGGGTGGCTTAGAATGTTTGTGACATTTATGGTTTGCAGAAGCTGAGGGGGTGGCCTGTTCTATACCCTCCTTGCGAGATAGGTATGTCATGTGTTTGCCAGACATAGCTTAGCTATGTGCTTTTGGAATTTTAC